CTGTTAATAATTGTTGGATTTACAGGTCTACACTTATGAGTGGTGAAAAATTTGAGATAGGTTCCTATTTACTCATGTTGAATTCACTAGTTTCTCCAAATGGATATTATGAATTAACTCTTCAGAAAAATTGTAATTTAGTGTTAACATGGAAGAGAATGCATGTTTTAAGGGAAAGTCTGACCACTAACAAAGATATTGATTTTGACTTTTAGAGACAAAAAATTAGTAATAAAAGATTATAAAGATGTAGACATAAATCAACAATACTATCTATGGAAGATGATGGATTTGTATATATAATTAAATGATAATAAAGTATTAAAGCATTTTCCATAATAAAATCTTTTGATTGCTTATATATATATATATATATGTATATATATATATATATATATATATATAAAACTATGCGTGCATGACATTTAGAAATGTATATATCCTATTAGCCCAAAAACTCTAGTTTATATACAAGCATGAGTGGTCTGAATTAATAAACATGTATGTATATTCCTTATATTCGAATGGGACTAATATAAAAACTAGATGTGCCATCCTCTTAACAAGCTACTCTATGTGATTGTTTTGCATCTCAACCGATCTTAATCTTGAAGTAGAAGTAATCATGGTCATTTCTTTCAAATTATGTTGATATCCAAATCTCCACCCCAAGCCAAATGTAAAATTGAGTCAAAGAGGCACCACTACCAGCAAATCTTATTGTTGTACACTCTCCTAAAATACAAGAGCCATCTGTTCCTCCACCCCTCTAGTTGACTGGGTTTTGCCTATTTTTTTAAGATGGTATAATGGAGGCACATTGCTGCAAGAGTAAGTTTCCCATATATATCCTCACTTATTGTCTGTTAAAATGATAATGATTATATATTTCCCAATGTGCTTTCACTCTTGTCACTTTCTAAATATCTAAACACCCGTGGCCATCACCTCCCAAATCAGCATGCCAACTTTAGCTCTTGTCACATCCCACTAAACTTGCATACCCCATTTGTGGCCTCCCGTTAAACACCATCCTGATTCACTCTCTCTCCGCTTACCTGGCGATGACGTGGCATCAGCCCTCCTTTTTGTTTTATCTCCAGCGCACTCCCTCTCCCGTCCGTCGCCGCTGCACACTCCCGCCCGCGGCTATCGCCCGCCCGCGGCTCCCGCCCGCCCGCTCGCCCTCACGGCTCCCGCCCGCACTCCCACCCGCCCCCGCACGTCCGCCCGCGCCCAGCGTGCGCCCTAAAATTACTTCCACGTGGCCACAGCCCCAACACTTAGCCAAATTTCAATCAGCGCGCGCGTGGACGCCTATCTACGTGCTTTACGTGGCCAATGAGTGTCATGGATGACCATTAGGAGTGGTAAACTTATGAAATCTTTTCGCTAATTTAAATATATTGCAATGTAAGTATATAAAGAGTTTGTTTTTTTTATTTATTCTTTGCTAAGATTGAGTTTTTCGTTTAAAGAGCTTTTCTTTCTTGTCTTCCTCTACCTAGTAAAAGGAGTTGCTTCTGGACTACTAGAAGCTTTTCTTTTACCTGTAATTCTTTCCACCAAAGGTTTTGCTCGCTTCAAGGATGTACCATAACTATCAACACGCTGTTGAAATTCTGTTGCAGGATGAATAAGATCGTCTGGCCTGGCTTTAAAAGTTGCAACCTTCTGCTGTATCATTTTTAAATCGTTGTCAACCATAGATAAAAAAGCTTCTTCATCAGGAAGATCTTGTAAGATATCCATCATCTTTTGTTGTAATGTCGTTTTTGTAACTTTTGATGGAGTGATATCTTCCTGCTTAAAGTTCATATCAATATTTAAAATTTATTTAGTGTAAATTACCTCTATAGTAGTCCTTAGCTGAATTTCTTGTTGATGCTGTATATTTTGATGGATATCTTCCTGCTCAATATTCATATATATTAGCATTTATAAAATATGTTAGTTTACCTCTAATGTAGTCTCCAACTGAATTTCTTGCTCATGATAAACATCTTGATGGATGTTTTCCTGCTTAATTTTTTATAAGTATTTCAAAATTTTAATTAATAAGTGAATTACCTCTGTCATAGCTTCCAAGTCAAGTGCTTCAAAATCTTGATGACGATAAAATAAATCATCTGGCCCAGGTTCTATAATTGCATGCGATTGTGATGGTTGAACCTCATAACTAGTTGTAGTCCAATCGGTTTTTTCTCCTTGTTTTAACATAATAACTTTTGCTTGATGCTTGCAAAAGTTTCCTTTGGTTGCCCACGGACAATTACACCAAGTCGAAAAAGCCCAATCACTGTGTCCTTCACCTCCGACAACAAGATACCATATAGTTGGATCTGAAGAGGATTGTACATAGGATTTGTGAGTATTGTCCTTATCGAATTTTACTTGAGAATCGTTAATATTTCTTGCTTTAACAATCGCACCATCGATTAGCTTTTCATATGCATGGTTTCGGATAAAACCATGATCTTTGCAATAAGTAGTAAACCAGTACCTCGCATGAACCTTAGTAGTAAGTTGATGAATTGCCCAATCCATCCTTCGATTGCGACCATGTTTTTTTTCGAACGAGAGTATAGCTTTCATATTTGCATGGAATGCCTCAATCGAACTATTTGTCTCCTTGTTAGCATGAGGGAAATTTCGAGCAGCAACAACCCACATATCTATCAAATATAAATTAAAATAAATTATAAAAATTAAATTATTGATTCACTTACCAACTTTGTCCTTCCATTCGTCTTGAAAATACTTGATAAAGGCTACTTCATTTTGAAAATCCACCTCAAAATGTTCAATAAGTTGTTTAATCTCAGCTTGCATAATATTATCATCATGAAAAGCTGCATGAATTGAATGATACATAATATCTCCGAGACGTTTCCATATTTCCATCCTAATATCCCAAGATTTCACCTTACGAATAATATGTTTGAGCCAATTCCTCCTTACATGCCAAATACATAATAGAATTTGACAATTAAATGTAGCTCTATATAGAAGAAAACAATTAAATTATTTCATATCAAATTAATTACCTTATAGCATTAATCTCTGCTTCAGCATCATCAATCATTATTTCCCGTGGTTTCCAATTTGGCATGTGTTCTAAAACTCGTTTTTTAAGAGCTATCATCCAATTCTTCATATGTTCTCCTTTCTCACTGGAAGTTAAAACCCATGCAATTGGAATACCATTTCCATGATAATCAAAAGCAAGCATGGTGTATAATGGGAACTGTAAATTATTAAGTATTGATCACTTAAAACTGAATGAAAATATTACCTTGTAGCGATTAGTTCCAAAAGTTGCGTCAAGACTCAATAAATTATTATTTGAAAAGTCCACCATCTTTTGTAGTTGCCAAGTTGTCTGGATCCCAATAGTAAAACAATCTTTACCTCGATCACCTTCCTGATAGAAAAATACTTTCTCGGGATTTGTGTTCTTCCAAATACGTACACTCTGTGCGTCATTCTCATGTAATCGATAAGTTGAAAGCGAATACTTCCTATGCAAATTATTGATATCTTGCATAGTTAGAAAATCATCTCGATGAGGAGGTTCACCAGCTGATTTGTTCCTTTCCACAATCTGTATATGCTCATTATAAATCTGATTTGATGTGAAATCCTGTTGAATCATATGAATCACCCAATGTCGAATATCTGCTGAAAGCTTCTGAGGAAATAATGACTTTCCCCCAGTCGGATCAAGTTGACCATGACAAGGAATCCCATTCTTATCACAATGTTCTCTATGATAATATGTAATCTGCACATAATCAGGCCATTTGTAAAACTGTTTAACCAAAAAATTGCAAAGGCAGCCTCGCTTATTAGAACTTCGACCTGGTCTACTTCCAAATCCTGACTTTGGTGTAGATTCAGCAACCATAATAGAGGATGTTTCACGAGCATCTTGTTTTCCATATTCACACCAATACCTGTATCATGAAGTTAGTAATTATATTTTGTTAAAAAGATATACCTGATTAATGATAAAAAGCTTGTGTTTTTGGGTCGTTTCAAATCTCCAGGATCACGATTTTTATTAGAAAATCGCCAAAAATCCACTCCGTCACCCCTTCTCCTCTCACCATCTAGAAACTTGTTCACATCCTTATGTAATATATACACAATAGGAGCTATAGTTTCATTTGATTTAGACAAATTCCAATCTAAATCATCTGCACAAAAATAATCCTTTTCATGGAATTCTTGCACCTCATCAAGCCATGGGGGATCCTAAATGATTTTCTTGAATCAATATGAAATTGAATTGATTGCTTACCTCTGGAAATTGATGTGCTGCTGCCATGCCTGATCATAAAAGAAACAGAAACGTTTTTAGGTCAATTATGGGGCAACCATCCGGCGTGAATGGGTGGACCAGGGCGCGCTGATTGAAATTTGGCTAAGTGTTGGGGCTGTGGCCACGTGGAAGTAATTTTAGGGCGCACGCTGGGCGCGGGCGGACGTGCGGGGGCGGGTGGGAGTGCGGGCGGGAGCCGTGAGGGCGAGCGGGCGGGCGGGAGCCGCGGGCGGGCGATAGCCGCGGGCGGGAGTGTGCAGCGGCGACGGACGGGAGAGGGAGTGCGCTGGAGATAAAACAAAAAGGAGGGCTGATGCCACGTCATCGCCAGGTAAGCGGAGAGAGAGTGAATCAGGATGGTGTTTAACGGGAGGCCCATTTGTGCCATCCTCGATACTAAATGCATTTCCAAGCTAGAGTAGTGGCTAAACCTTAACTCTTTCGAATCTATGGAGAATATCTCTACTCCTAGTTTTGAACTTTGAACTCCAAAATGTTTTATAATTCTTGTGTTGCTTTGAGAATCTGTTACCATACTTCTTGTATATAAAGAGAGGTTTAAACCTTAATTAGTATATCCTGAACACTTGTAATAATAAACATTATTTTAAATAATATTTTTCTAATAAAATTAAATTATTATTTCTATATCATTGTTTGGATTCTTATAGGGCTTATGAGCAAAGAATGCAGCAAGCGAGTGCTCCCATCCATCCAAGATGTGCTCTCGCAGCTGCTATCGCCATCTGCGGCCCTCTACGCATCCCTCCTCCGCCGCTGCGGCATCTCCCGCTCGCTTGCCGACGGCCGCCGCGTCCACGATCACATCCTCGCCACAGGCCACTTCCTCCGGAGCGTCCACCTCGGTAATCTCCTCATCCAGATGTACAGGAAATGTGGTGGCACCAGCAGCCTCGCGGACGCGCGCGCAGTCTTCGATCAGATGCCCAAGAAAGATGTGGTGTCTTGGAGCTGCATCATCGCGGCCTACGGGCAGGCGGGGCATTGCCGCGAGGCGATCAATCTCTTCCAGCGCATGGATGTGGAACCCAACGAAATGGTGATCGTGAGCACACTGGCTGCGTGCTCCGGCGCCAAGGATCTCGCGCTGGGCATGGCCATCCACGCGAGAATTCTCTCCCCGGATCTCCGCAAGAGCGTGTTCGTCGGCACAGCGCTCCTCAACATGTATGCCAAGTGTGGAGCGATCGAGCAGGCCAGAGCGGTGTTCGATCAGATACCGCACAAGGATGTAGTGTCGTGGACTGCGATGATCACCGCATTTGCCCAGATGGGGGATTGCCGCCAGGCGCTCGAGACGCTCGAGGGGATGATCCAAGCTCGCGTCCAGCCCAATCCGGTGACCTTCGTCGCGGCGATCACTGCGTGCTCCAGCAGGGAATTTCTTGATCGGGGCAGGAAGATCCACGCCGCCGTGATCGACCTGGGCCTCCACGGCGACATCACGATCCAGAATGCGCTCGTTTCGATGTATGCGAAGGGTAGCAGCGCGGAAGAAGCACTTTCGGTGTTCCAGAGGATGGAAGATCGCAACAGGGTCTCGTGGAACAGCATGATCGCAGCCTTTGCTGCGAGCGCACAATCTTGCGCGGCGATGGGCCTCTTCCACGGCATGAACTTGGAAGGGATCAAGCCCGACGACGTGAGCTTTCTGGGAGTTCTAAGTGCCTGCTCGAGCACTAGGTGCTTGCGATCGTGCAAGCGGATCCACTCGCAGCTGGAGCTCGCCGCGGTGCACTCTCCTCCGGATTTGAGCGTGGAGAACTCGCTTGTCACTGCCTACGCCAAGTGTGGAGATCTAGAGGCCGCCGAGAGGATTTTTCAAAGAATCCCAGGCAAGAATGTCGTGTCCTGGACGGCCATGCTCACTGCTTACACCTTTCACGGCAATGGATCCAAAGCTCTCGAGCTCTACGACAAGATGGTCGGGCAGTCGATCCAGCCGGACAGCGTAGTGCTGCTCAACGTAATCTACGCCGGATCACTGGTCGGGGACGTCGGCCTCGCGAGAAAGCTCCACGCTCGCGTTGCTTCCTCCAGCTTCATGCTCAAGATCCAGATCCAGAATGCGCTCATCAACATGTACACGCGGTGCGGCAGCCTGGAGGAGGCAAGGCGGGTGTTTGATGGGATCGAGAGGAAGAACTTGGTGTCATGGAACGCGATGATGGGATCTTATGTGCAGCACGGATACGACGAGGAAGCGATCGCATTGTTCTCGGAGATGAAGGCTGGGAACTCGAGGGCCATGGAGTCGGGCTTGAGGAGCTCGGTCTCTGCGAGCTCGGACTCTAGTTTGTACACAAAGAGTGTGAAGAGCTCGGACTCCACTAACACCTCGGCCTCCACCATCTCGGACTCCATTCTAAAGCCTGATTGCATCATGGCCGTCATTCTCCTGTGTGCCCACGCCGGCCTGGGCAAGCTCGCCGAGGGGCGGCGCATCCACGCCGATTTATGCGCCGCGAATCCGGAGATTCTCGCGGGATCCACGACCAACGTCACCCTGGGCAACGCGCTGGTTAGCATGTACGCGCGCTGCGGCAGCATGGGAGACGCCACCGCCGCCTTCCACCGCATGAGAGCCCGCGACACGGTGACGTGGAGCTCCCTGGTGGCGGGATACGCCCACCACGGCCACGCCGAATATGCCATCCTCCTCTACCGCGACATGCACCTCGAGGGCGTCCAGCCCGACAGCGTCACCTACGTCAGCATCCTCAACTCGTGCAGCCATGCCGGCCTGCTCGCCCAGGCGCGGCATTTCTTCGTGTCCATGGTCGAGGACCACTGCCTGGCGGCGTGGCCCGACCACTGGAAGTGCATGGTGGACGTGCTGGGGCGGGCGGGGTTTGTCGGGCGGGCAGAGGACGTGGTGAGGAATATGCCGTTCCAGCCGGATGTGGTGGCGTGGAACACGCTGCTGGGGTGCTGCAAGGTGCATGGGGACGCGCGGCGGGGGGCCGTGGCGGCACGGAACGCGGTTGGGATTAGCCCGGGTTTTGCGGGGTCAACGGTGCTGCTGTCCAATATGTATGCGGAGATTGGGCGGCACGAGTGCATGTCGAGCTTAGATTTAAAGGTCGGGGTTTAGGTTTAGGGTTTATCTATTTCCAGAATCTGGTCAACGTTCAAAATTGTCAACATTATTTGGTCAGCGTTCTTATTGACTAGAGCACAAAAGTTCAACCTGGACAATAATATCAATAAATTTTCTAATTTGCAGCCTCTATTAAATTCTTGTTCGGATTTTTCTTTTGTCGCAGCTTTTGTTTGCCACATACCATGAATGCCAGCAGAAAGAAATCCTTCCAGTGGACACAACCAGTGAGTCCATATTCTGGAAAAGGCTTGGAAGAGACCACACAAAATAGTATTCAAAGTTAATCACATGGATTGTAGTGAAAAAAAACGTGAAAACTTATCTTGAAACAAGCGCCTCCTTTTTTTCTAAATCGTCATTGCAAGCATTTACAAAGCTTTGGAAGGTTGGAGAAATCCCGGGACTCTTTTCCTCGAGCTGGATCACCGTGTCCAATCCTTCCACCCATCGATTTCTTCTGTAAGCCTTGGCGATCTCTTCCGCCACCACCGGCGATGCCAGACTCATCTCCCTGGCTAGCATCTCCCCCACACAGCGCTGGAGCTCGTCGAGACGATCCAGCCGCGAGCATCCAACGAGCAACGCGTTGTAGCTCTCCTCGCTAAGTTCCTCCTCCAGATCCTCCATCATTTCCCCGTGTGTCTTGTCGAAATCCTCCGGCATTCCCATCTTCGAGTAGCCGCAGAGGAGAGTGTTGTAAGTCATGGCGTCGGGACGAAAGCTCGAGCACTCGCTGTCGCCCAGGAGATTTGCGAGGCCTGGCGAGTCGCCCAGCCTCGCAAACATGGCGATGAGGATGTAGAACGTGACTGCGTTTGGCGAGCACCCCTTGCGGAAGGCTTTCATCTGTTCGAGGATGGAGAGCGCGGTTTGAGCGTCACCTTTCTTGGCGTAGGCGAGGATGAGAGCGTTGCAGCACCTCGTCGATTGCTTGAGCCCCTTGCCTTTGAGATCGTCGAACCAGATGCGTGCTAGCCTCAGGCTCCCAACGACTCCGGCGTAAGAGATCATCGTCGCGTAGAGCTGCTCAAGCTGCGGTCTCTTGGCCGATAGTAGGACCATTGGATTGTTCGTGAGCCATGTAAAAACCTGGCACGACCGTGATATAAGAACGCGATGGATGGAGAGGACGAAACAATAAAGAATGTCACCGACAAGATCAGACTCGATCAGGCATGAAAGATACGAGCACGGAAACAACGAGAAAACCAAAAGAAATCCCGACCAACAACACCAAAGTTTGATGGCAAGAAAAGCAAGAAACTCATAAGCAAAGCTGGAAGAACAGCCACGAAGAACATAGCAAATCAAAAGAAACTAGAAAATAAGAGAAAAAATCTAAGATTCTTGCGTACCTCTAAACTGTAGTGGTGATAATCCCCTCCCATGAGATCGCCCAGCATAGGAATCCAGAAGCTCTCGAAATCTCTCACGTAGCTCTTCTTGTCCAAGATCGCCTCGCGCGCCCCCATGGACGAAGCATTCTCGAGCCGCATTCTCATGAGCCTGCCGTAATATCCTGGATTCGGCCGCTTCGCTCGCACGGCGGCGAGCGTGGATCCAGCGCCCGCTGTCATGGATTGCCCCTCGGGGCGGAGGCCAAGAACGAGCTCCAAGTATGGCGTCTCGCTCCACGATTCCACCGTGTAGCCATAGCCGCTCGCAGTCGCAGTGGCAATGCAGCTAAATCCAGACCTGGCAATCGATCCCCGGAAGAACAGCCTCGAATCGAGACGAGCGTGAGAGAATCCCGCCGCCGCGCGCGCTCGCAGCGCCATTAGGGTTTATAGCTTTGCCACGTGGCGGACAGGGAAGCAAAAGTACGTTGTCCACGTCATACGACGCTGTCACGCGAGGTTTTGCCGACAGGCAAAATATTTCTAGCGAGCCCACTCCATCGATCGATCGGTCGCGTAGCTCTCCGCGCCCGGGGCATGGACAAGCGCCTGGAGAGAAGATCGCCGCTGGTGCTCGAGAGGAACGACGATGCCGCCAGGACGAGCACGGCGAAGGACACTGCTACTGCCATGGATCCCCATGGAGAGAATTTCATAGGCCGCCAATGCGGCATTCTTGACGGTGTGCTCAGCCGGGGCGATCGCGATGGCGATGGCGAAGGCGGCGATCGCGGGGCAGGTGGCGCTAATCCCGATGATAATCCTCCTCCTCCTCTTGGTAATCGCGGAGCTCGAGCACCGAAATCACCATCGCCAGCTCCAGCGCCATCGCCATCGCCTCCACCGCCACCAATTAAAAAAAAAGCACTTTCTAAGGCTTTGGTGGTGGGTTTGGGATTGTAAATCTAGAGAGGAAGAAACTATGAGCTTTGCCGGTTTTAGGGTTTAGCTTGGCATAAGATTTATACTAAAAAAATTTCAACATCATTTAGTTGTCAGCTTCAGTAAAATGATTACTGTCAAAATATAAATAGTCCTTTGAATTATTGCATATAAACTATTGGTATTTGTTCTTGTGATTTAGCTTCCAATCATGTTTATTAACATCAGCACAAAAGTCTGCCTCTTCCAGCTATTAAGCTCTTTAAGAACTATGCCCATTCTCTTGGCACTGGAACGCTCCATCGGTGGAACAAGGGGTTTCCATCATCGCGTACCCAGCGCCCGGAGTAATTATCTAATTATTTGAAATAAATATAAATATGTTTTTTTTACATACTTACATAATTAGCATTAAAGTAAACCATTAAACTTATTTCCTGGCAGTGACGAGCAAGAAAATTTCCCTCCTCAAATCGTAATCAAAGTCTCAGGCTCTACGCAGTTCTGGGGAGCTGGGAGGAGGGACTTACGTTGACAGGAACTTCCTAGATTTTCTCAAGAGAAAATTGGGTGCTTGGAGAGCTTTGACGATCCAACTTCACAAGGTGGTGGCTGGGGTCACTTGGGAAGAGCAGCTTCAATGGAATTGGTTTCAAGGTGTTTGAGCTTCCCCGGAGGCTGTCGAAGCGTGTAAGAAGTCTGATGAGCAGCTGGGAGATGCACAGGATCATGACGAGGAGATCAGAGCTGAGGGCTATGTGTTGACACCGAAGTGAACAAGGTTATAGCTCTCATCGACAAGCAGGTGGACGCAAGCATGAAACACATATTTGTGGTTGGTGGATTTGCAGAGAGCCCATACTTAATGAAGAAGATTATAGAGAGGTATATGATAACGAAGGAGGTGATCTCTCCTCCAACTCCGAGTGCTGCCATTTGCAAAGGCGCAGTGGCACTCGGGTTTGGAAGCGCTTCTGGTGTCTCAAGAATCTCCAAGAAATGGTACGGCGTTAGTTGTTCCAGGTGATCCCATAGACCAGAAGTTCGTGAACGAGGACGGAGTTGAGAAATGCAGAAAAACCTTCCGTATACGTGAGGAAAGGGGGATCGATTCAAGAGAGTCATGCGGTCTCCAACATTTATGGACTGCTGCACTCCGATCAGAGAGAAACGATGGTAGAGCTCTTCAGTTCGAGTGGCGAATCCGCACCAAAGCACACAACCGATCCCGAGTGCGAGCGTTTACATGAGTTACCGTTTGACATTAGCGAAGATCTTGACATGGAAGAAGCGTATCCGTCAGTCAATCCATTTTGGACGGTCAACTGTCGAAGTTTATGCACAGAGAGTCAACCTCGGGAACCAGCCCGAGAAGCTCTTTTGCGTTGACCAGCTGACCAGGAAGAGGAAATCAACCTTCGATTAAGGCGTATTCATTTCTTATTAATTTGTCAAGTCGCAAATAATCTCAAAATCTTTTTTTTTTTTTTTTTTTCCTGTGAGGAAACTTTTATTCCTGCATCTCAAATGTAATGTACACCCTGGAAAAGCTTTGCGCTAGAACCTCGCCTCGAGCGAAAAGGTGGCCATGCTGAAACAATCGTGCGAAGGGATGGCCGGCCTCGTTTCCCACAACTTACTCGCCGTGTCATACGCAAGAACCTCCCCATTCCCGTGAGGGATGACAAAGATGTGCTGCTCGTTCCCGGCCAGAGCATACGACGTGAGCTCGCAAGCCTTCTCGCAGATCTTGCTCCAAGTCATGGAGCCCGTGTCCAGCTCCCAAATGCTCACAACATCCGCCTGATCGTCCGCGTCCCTCCGCCACCTCGGGTGGAGCCATGCGTTCCGCCGCTTCCTCACTCCCGCCACCAACATCGGCGCCAGCTTGGGCCCCTTGACGATCTGCGGCTCGATCAGCAGATAGTTCCTCGAGTGGCGAGTGAGCGGCGTGTCGATCTTCCCCCACGAATCCTTGTCCACGCTGTACGTGAGCAGCGCGCTGCGATCCCAGTTGACGCAGTAGGCCACGCCGGCGATGCACGTCGCGGCCTGGGAGAAGTCGTCGTGCTGGACCGTCTCCAGCATCATCGATCGCGGCATCGTCCGGAGGAGCCACTCGGCTCGATCGGCGTCGAAGAGATAGAACTGGGAGCTCTGGTAGCGGAGGAAGAGGAGCTTGAAGCTCCTCCCGGGGCCGGAGGAGAGAGCCCACGGTCGCCACCTCGGCCACTCCTGGCGATCGTCTTCTTCTTCCAGCTTGAGCTGGAGCTTGGGGAGATCCAGGCGGAGCTTGGCGACGGGGTTGTAGACAAATACCTCTCTCACCGAGTTGTCGTTGATCAAGCTCCGCCGCGACACGCAAACCATGGCGCCGTCCGCCACGACGTCCGCTTGGTACTCCTCCTCGTGCCGCCGCGGTATCCGGCAGTGGTGGCGGTACGCCGCCGGGGAGGAGACGGGCAGCCAGCGGCGGCCATTGACGAAGGCGTACATCTGGTCGGTGTAGACGACGATCCAGCGCTGGTGGGGCGCGGGCGGGGCGACGGCGGCGGTGGCGGTGGCGTGGTTGTGCATGAATTGGGCGGAGCGGAGGAAGAGCGACCATTCCCGGCACACGGCGCGGAGGCGGCACACGTCCGCGACGCACAGCCGCAGGCACACGCGCTCCAGGAGATCCGATGGCAATTCGCTCCACCCCTGCGCCGCCGCCGATCCCTGCTTCCGCTCCCTCGCCGCCATCGCTGCGCTCTCTATTCTTCCCTCGAAACCCTCGAATGTGGGGAATATTCGTGAGGGTTGTGCTGTTGGGCGTTGGATTCGAGCCTAAGCCTTGCCAGAGCATATGCTGGCATCTTCGTCACATTTGAAATTTTAACCGGGAGAACAGCATATTCGACGCACTTCTTTGATAGGATGCCTCGTAAAGGACTGTCATGTTGAGATCGTATGTCAATCTGGGCTTATCGATCAAGAATGCTGGATTGAGTATGAAACCACATCGGTGATTGCTGCTATGCCCAAAACGAGTATTTTTTATGAAAATGCAAATTGTTTTTAGCGAGCTGACCATGCCAGATCTTGTTTCGTGGAACACCATTCTCTCCACTTATACACCAAGTGAGCAAGAAAAGTTTTTTTTACCATATTTCACTCAGGACACTGGTTCACTTTCTTGTCGGCAAATACCTGAACTGGTAATATTCATGAAGTAATGTTTGTGTTTTAGGTAATGCCCACACTTCTCTTTTGTCATCTCGTGCACAAACTGGGAAATTGAGTAAAGAGAAGAGAGTGATTCAATGCGTTGCTTTCACAACAATGCATCCAGCAAATGGGCATCTTGAGGAGCTCTTTCCAGAGCATGATCCCATGTCATGGAATGCTATGATATGCACAGAACGGAAGAACTGGCTTCTTGGCTGTGGCTCACAAGGATGTAGGAGAGCATCCATAAAACTAGCCACCACATGTGCCACCCCCCCACTTCTAACCGGCCTGTGGTCAAACCACATATACGGATAAAATCTTGAACAAAAATCATTGAGAACCAATGTAAGACAAAATCAAGGACGAGAGAAATCATCATGTGAGATGCAGCACGAGGATGTGAGCCACGACAAAACAACATTTTGGTGAAAAAGGTATTTTTCTACCAGCTCTTTGAAGAGCAGCAGAGGTGGCAGCTCCTATCCTTTCATGTTGAAGGGGTTTTTATATTTTAATTGAATCCCTAACATTTCTCTTTTCCTGGTCAACTGCAAGAGGTCCTTGTAAACATGGAAGAGCTTCTTGGGCTGGTGGTTTCTCCCAAAGTTAACTCTTTACGCATAGATTGTTGACTGTCTAAAATGGAGTGACATGCAAACTTGACACTCAATTGACAAAGAGTTAGAATGAGGAATAGGATTTTTTTAGAAGGACACTAGCTATATATTAGCTATATCCAAGAATTTCTCTTGAAATTTGCTATTGAATATGGCCCTTGATCTCCATGATTCAAAGTGCATATCACATTTTAGATTTTAGTTTCAACACTCTTGCTAAAGTTAAAGGTGTGACTGCTGCTACTACCTTCTCCTCAATTAAGGCTTGGCAACGACTTCAATAGAATTCTTGTGTTCCATAAATAAAACTTTAGCCAAAGGTTTGGTAAAGATGTCAACAAGTTGTTGTCAAGAAAAAAACATGCTGAACCATTAGCAAACCTATATATATTAAATCCCTAACATAATGTTGCACTTCACTATTGCACAAATCAATACCTCCCTGGTTGTTAACATGGAGGGTAATTGGTGTGAGGGATTGTCTAAGAGCTCCAAGAAATTCTTGAAACCAAAGAATTTCCTAACTGAGGTAGCAAGATATTTTATTTCTGTAGAGGAAAGAGTAATGTGAATTTGCTTTTTACTAGCCCAAATAACAAAGCTTGTTCCAAGCTGGAAACAAAACTTTATTGTGGATTTATAGCTATCTTTATCATTTGACAAGCTACTGTCACTATAAGCAACAAGAGAAAGCCATCACATGAGCTATACAACACTCTAAAAGCAAGAGTTTTCTTCACATAACACATCATAGATTTAATCACAAATTTGGCCATGTCCCAATGTTTATTGCTAGGATTAACAGAAAACTGGCTAAGAGTGATGATAACATAAGCTAAATTTGAACAGCTACACACCATAGCATATATTAAACTCTTAAGAAAATTTTAAAATGGTACCTTTGCCATAGTTTGATGCTCTTTCTTGCTAGAAGGACACTCAACTTTTGTCAAGAATTTAATGTTATTAATATATCCATAACTCTCAAGTACCTTTGTTAAATATTGTTGTTGAGAAATGTGAAGGAATCTCAAGACCAAGAAAATATCAAACTTCTCCAAAGTCTTCCATAGCAAAAGCTTTTCCAAGCTTAACCTTGAAAATTTGTAAATATTTATAGTTGTTGCTAATCAAGAGTGAGTCATCAATATAAAGAGCAACAATAAGTAAAAACTTCCTTTTTTGTTTGATATAGACATTGGATATAGGAGTGATAAGAGAAAATCCTTCAATTTTAAATAAAACATGCTTCTCGCAGGCAACAATGCTTCTGGAAAGCTTGTCGAAAGTTTGGCACTTTTTCGGTGAGCAAATGAATGCTAGCTTTGAGCTTAACCATTTTCATATATTTGTTGTAGGAACGCAGATCAGAGGACTATTCTCCACGGTTTGAAAAAGCTTGTGAAGATCTTTGACGAAACGGTATACTCGTCCGAAGCAACAGAGAGCAACGCTATACTCGACCTGACCGACGAAGAATATGTCAACAAGGAGGTGGTCATCCAAGAGGCGATGACTGATGAATGTGTGAAGACGGCCACTGAAGAGACGGCGAGTGATCAATATGCAAAACCCGAGGTGGCCTCCGACCGAAAAAAGAGACCTGTGTCGCAAGATGTTCCATCATGCAAGAAGCAACGCTTGGAGGGCAAGGTCGAGGAATTCTATGATCGAGCTGCGTTTCCAGCGATGCTGGACGAATGGCACAAGCGTGTTCTATCGCTAGACATCTGGAGCATGCACGGAGATCACTCGGAGGAGCTCCTGGAAGTTCCATTGACGTTTCAAAGCTACAAGCATTATCTAGAGATCTTCCGGCCGCTTTGCTTCGAAGAGTTCAAGGCACACCTTGAAAGGTCTCTCGAGACAATGGATTTGTCGCGCTCCGACGTTGTCACAGCGTTTTCCTTGCGGCAGGAAGGCTACTTTCACCTTGTGGAGTTTGACGGCCACACCGTTAAACTCGCAGAGAACGATTTGATACTTCTACGTGATCCAGCTCGGACTTCTCACATGATCGGCAAGATGAGTAAACGCTCCAGAGCTTGATGCATTCTAAAAGAATCTCTTTGCATTGCAGGTTGAGAAAAGAAACAACCTTCTCGTCAAGGTTTATCTTCCTCACAGCTGCGAAAGGCTTTCCAAGTTGCGAGAGATGCTAGTGACGGAAAGTACGTGGCATCTGAACAAGCTTACGTCCGTGACGACGTTCATCCGCGAGCAGCAGGCTATGGCGGCGATGCACTTGTTTCCATTACTGGAAACAATACTCTCGGCTTCTCCTCCACGAGAAATATCAAGAACTCAAAGCCTTCCACCACAACTGCGGTCAAAGCTTAGACGCGAGTACAACGAGAGTCAGCTGAGCTCTATCGCTGCTGTCGCCGACCAGATGATTTCTCTCATACAAGGGCCACCAGGTAAACGGCTTTCGCGTTCTCTTGATATAAACCATTCAATTGTTTTTTCTTTGCTTGTAATAGGAACTGGAAAGACAAGAACAATCCTCGGCATTGTGAGCGCATTGCTGGCCCATGCAAACGAGGAGGCTGGCAAAGCCGAGGAACACGAGATGCTAGACGTGCTAACAGATAACCACCAAACTGAGTTCCGAGATAAGCTGAAAGCTACAAGGATCTCAGTCCAACGCAGCAGTGGACGAACTGGTGACAAGAATCTCAAAGCATGGCGTCTACAACTACGATGGAGGGACTTACTGGCCCTCTATTGTCCGCGTCGGGGACACGAAGAGGGTGCATTCCCAGGCAATGGCTGTGCACATCGACCGGCTGGTGGCGAAGAGAATGGCTGAGAATGCAGGGGTACACAATGCACACTCTCCACAGGAACTAAGGTCCAAGCTCGATGAAGTCCTGGGTAATATGCAAGCGTTAGCTGCTCCAGCCGAGGTGGAAAGTCAGGATGGGATTCCGAAACTTGACAAGCTAGCAGGTCTTCAAGAGCAGCAGAGACTGCTTTTATCAGAGCTGATCAAGGTGGAAAATCGCGAGCATGGCTTTCTTATGGGATCAAACCGAAAGAAGAAACAAGCCATGAAGCTTGAAGTTTTAAGAGAAGCAGATGTGGTACTGACGACGCTAAGCGGCTGCGGAGGTCACATTTACTCGACTTTGATGGAATTCATTGCAACGAGAGACGCGCAGGCCGCGGAGATGCTGTTCGACGCTGTGATCATCGATGAAGCTGCACAGGTATGGATGAAAAATCAGAGTGTGAATGACGCCTTTCGAACGAACTTTTAGGCCGTGGAACCATCAACTCTGATACCGCTTCAGCTGTTGAAAGCGACTCGTGGGAAGTGCATCCTGGTAAAGTGCTACGGGAGTATTTTGCGATATATTTACTAGAAGTTTTCCAGATTCGGGATCCTAAACAGCTACCAGCGACTGTTCTCTCGGTTCCAGCATCAAGGCTCCTGTTTGACTGCAGTATGTTCGAGAGTTTCCCGGTCAGCATGTTAACAACGCAGGTCGGTTGATTTTGATTTTGGAAGTCTTTTTGCATTTTATCAAGTTTTCTCGTTCTGGTTCCACAGTATCGCATGCACCCTGAGATTCGAAGCTTTCCATCGACACACTACTACGATGGCCAGCTCAAAGATGGAAGCACTGTTCTACATGGCAACCGAAGCGCTCCCTTCCACCGCGAAAGGTTCGTATGCTTGAGCTTTTGAATTCATGAAAGAAGACTGTTTCAATTGGAATTGCACAGGCGTTTCGAGCCATACAGGTTTTTTTGACATTCGAGACGGGCAGGAAAGGCCAGGCTCGATGCAGTCGCTTACCAATCCCGACGAGGCAGAGTTTATCTTTCAACTCCTTCGTGTTCTCAAAGAGAGGTACTCCACATTCCTTCACGAAGTTGCTAGAAAGATATCAACCGGTTTTTCCAGGTATCTGGAGGAAGTACGCCCCGGGAGGATTGGAGTGATCACTCCATACCAGGAGCAGAGAAAAGTTCTCCAAGAAAACATGAGGAGTTTACACTCGGGGATCGACGTAAACACGGTGGATTCGTTCCAGGGGCGAGAGGCAGACATCATCGTCCTCTCGACAGTGCGTGCTTCGTTTGGAGACTCTCAAGCTGGTGTGGGATTCCTCGCGGACGTAAGGCGCATGAACGTAGCACTGACGAGGGCCAAGTTTTCGCTCTGGGTCGTGGGAAATGCGAGGACGCTCGAAAGAAATCCCGACTGGAAAGCTCTTCCCAAGACTGTAGCCCTACCACAGCGCAATCAACGGCTTACACAGCTTCAGCTGACAACTAAATCGATCCAACGGTTTTATTCTGCAGAACGTATTAACGATAAAGATTGCTCCAGCTTGGCTTATCCAACGGCTGCTAGTGAAGCCCGCGGGAAGCGTTTTTTCGCGTGACGGCGCTATTCGTTCACCACGGCTTTGCCGAAGGTAGGGCTTGATGCGGCTTCTTCGTCAAGGTGAGCTTTCACTATCTACATTCTCCGATCGATCGACCCATGACAGGATTGGCGGGAGCGTCGGCTAGGATTTCTTGTGGAGTAGGGAGTTCTACTCGGAACAACTGGCAGCGTTTTCAGGTGCGTCGATCGCCAAGAATTTCCAATTCTCTGAAGTGTCTTTTTTATTCTTTCCAGGGCTATTGAGACAAAGAGGCCGCAATTCAGTTTCCGCAACAGTGAGATCTAACCGGTTTTGCGACAGTTTAGCGTTTTCGTTCGAGCAAACAGTGGGAGCAATCTATGGCGACTTGAGTTTCAAGACGGAGCAGTACAAGGAGCTACGCGCATTTTACAACGCTTTGAAGCTATGCATGGGAGCGGCTGTCAAGGAGTAAGATAACAAAGATGCAAGCTTTGTAGATCTTTGCTCACTTTTCTTGGCAGGGAGTTTCTATCGATTCAACTGTTGCAGGAGTGGCACAAGACGCTTATCCCTGGCGGAGGGAAGTGGAGAACAAAAGATGTGTTCGTGAGCTTCGAAGATGGTCCTGAGAAGCGAATGCCATGCCTTCGGCTGGAGGAGAGGTTGGACGTGATACTTTCAGAGCTGAAGCAACGCATCGAGGCTTCCCGTGGAGTTGACGAAGCAATAATCTCGGCAGCAGGCACGTTTGTACACGGTATGGAGAAGATCCATCCTTTCCTGGATGGGAATGGTCGCTTGAGTCGGCTATGCTTATACTTCCTCTTGTGACGGGTTTCTCTGCTGCCAAGCTTCTTTTGGAGCTCGGAAAATGGAGAAGGTATCGATCGTTACACAGTTTTTTTTGCTGCTTCCATGGACCGGATCCCTCGCTCTTGATTGATACGCTGCGGATAGGAATTCTTCTTGGAAGAAGAGCACTATTCCATCGTCTCCGCTCCTTTTCAAGCAACATAGGTTTGCTTTGTACATTTCAGGCAAGCATCACTACACACGAGAGCTGACTTCTGAGCTCTTCCCGTGCAAGCATGTACGTAGGGAAGAGGACATGGACTGGAAGATGTGCAGCTCAAGCCACAACCATCTTTGGTAATGCAATGCAAAATGCTTTCAGTCCTCTGCCAGCTCCAGTAAGAGGATATAAATCGGGGAGTGAGGAGGCACAGATTGATTACAGTGTGCAGTTTTGGTGTGCTCTCTGGCTTAGTTTTCTATTGATGTGTTTCCTGATTTGTGTAGCTTATAGTTCCAAGGCCACATTCGTGCTCTAAATAATGAGGAGCTGCAAGAGTGTTGAACGACAGGGTCGAGCAGCTAGATAGTCATAGATGCGGTGAAGCTGATTCTTGGTTTACTTGCTCAAGGAGTATAACAAAGACTGCATTGGGCAAGGAAAGATCTGCAGGCTGCAGCCTGCATGAAGTGTTCAACATGCCAACTTGGAGGTGATAGCCTCTGATTCGTTCGATCAAGCAAGCTACAATACCTTTTCGGAGAGCTATAATTAGGCTGGTCTGAACCCTAAAGCCTAGGGTAACATGGCCCCGGTTGAGATTGACAGGGATCTTGCGGGCGAGTCTCTAGTGCTGGTGCCGGGCTCAGGTAAATTGCACGCGTGGGTGCCTCACAAACAAGAGTTGAGGCCCGTCAGGATCGAGGAGGGTTTCGAAATCATGGCCACAGACTCCAACCTCATGTATGTGGAGAATTTCGATTTGAAGCAGGGGTTTGTTGGGAGCCCCTTGACTGGGATTTGGGCTCCCATCCCTTGGCATCCTGGCTACAACTGGTACAAGAACGGGACGGTTCGGTTCTGGTTGTCTTTCTATCTGATTGCGGACGCTCCAGAGACTGGGGAGTTTACACTCCTGGTTGACAAGTTTATGTACACGTCAAAGAGCAAGGTCTGGGTTCAGAGCTGCAACGTGGAGAGAGAGATGGATTCATTCGACCGTGTGGAGCGTATAGAACAAGGGGGTTGGGAAGCCGCGTACCACGTAGACAACCGCGTCACAACTCCGCTGGGCGATATATACGACTATGCAGAAGATAATCTGTATCAGCACCCCAGTTTCACAAGGCCTGAGGGAATCACGCATGAGAATTTCCCATGGGGTTTTCCCAATGGCATTTGCCGGTGCTTCAAAGGCTTCCACAATGAGCTCATGCTCTTGGTTGTGTACTCTGGGGACTATGTGGCACCTCTTGTGAATGATGAGGTTGAGATTTACTGGTGGGACAATCAGCTGATGAAATGGCTTCCTTTCTGCCCAAAGTATTGCAAATCCGACTGTAGCAACCTGGATAATTATGTTGGATCCATTTATCCTGCTCATGCCAAAGGGTCCAGGTACATGGCTATTCTTATGGACCAAGTAATCCTTGCATTTGACCAGGTTAGCCTCCAGTGGTATAGAATGGATGTGAGCGAGGAAGATAGCGGACAGTTTCTGTATTGCTTGGCTCCATCCATTAAGTAATACTTTTGGTGCTTAGAGAATCAAATGGGGCTTGACTTAGCCTCGTACTTTGGAACTAGAAGGTTGCGACCTGGGAGGCGATGGTCAGCCTGGCTTCTCTTCACAGGTTGAGTCTTCTCGCTTGCTACAAGTATAATTATTCTGATATTGTTTTCAGTCTGATATAATTGTGGTATTGCCTACAAAGGTATTTTATGATTTAGAGTTCATTTTAGTTTCCAGGAGCTTTTAGAGAACTAAAATTCTCACTATAATCTAACAAGCACTATAGTGCTTTACCTGTCTAAACTCTATTTATTTAGGTTGCATTGCAACAAATTACATTGCAACAAATTACACAGCAATTATTGTAGCAAGGGAGTTTGTATGGGATGAAAGCGACAGATTTCACATCATCCCCAGAGCGCAGTAGTAACAGATGTCCCAAGGGTGGGCATAATGAAAGCATCTCTTAGTTCTAATTGTAAAATTTTCTAAAATAAATCACCTGTAAAAGTTGTAAGCTACTTTGGCCCCGTTTTTCAAACTGTGGCACCAACCAGCACAGCCTCAGCAAAATCCTTATTTGTTGCCAACTGTGCCTGGGTATTACCAGTGCCCCGAGGAGTTTGATGTGAGCGATTCGGGACGCAGCAAGCCAGTGGATGAGAGCTTGTTTTATGTGGCCGTCCGGGAGCTCTTGAGCGAGAGAGGTGAAAAACCGCTCGATGTCCTCAAGACACGATACTCCCACTCTTTGGCTAGTCGGTCTCTGGCCTTAAATAAAGCTTGAGTAACTTGGTTTTGGACACCGGGCCAGGCGTACCAGCAGAAATCTGGGCCGTGTCAGGCGTCAGCGTCGGAGGAGGGACAGCAACAACGGCTGCGCCAGTGGTCTGCGTCGGAGCGACAGTAGCTGCAGCACCGCGACGGCCGGCAGCGCCATCCTTCTTCCACACTTCGCTTACCCTAACTTAGTCGCACCATTGACGTTGACCTGTTCTTCGATTAGATGGAGATGCCCGGCCCGGGTATATGCTGCCATCACTGGTGGAGGAAATCAAGGGCATAGATTCGCGCCATCGAGCATTGTGATGGCGATGATCGAGACCCCGGCGAGGAGATTTCGCCACTGCGCCTGCCACGGCGCGCTCTGGACCAGAGGAAGGGATTGAAATGCGATACAATCCTTGCGGGCGCTCGCTTGCTCGAGGCCGCGGCCATCGAATCGATTCGACTATCTTACTGTCCTTAGAAATCTAAAGGACAGAAACACAAGAACCCACCTCGATGATCACCGAGAAAGTGTAGCTTGGGATCCCAGCTCCTCCTCCCGGTGCTCCACGCCTGGAGCTTGATGATCTTCATGCTGATGAGGATCCCTCAACCGCTTGTCCTGCACGACCATGAAATTCGTCTGCGAGGCGACTGGTAGGCATCTGGATGCTGGCCGAATTCGCGAGCCGGGGCTGCTTCTCGCAAGCCTGGAAGCTCCACGAAGCCGAAGAGTCCCTTTGGGGCGCACGAAGACATGAGCGCTATGGTTCTTACGAGCACCAGGAGGAGACGGAGATCCTTGCCAGACGCTGAACGAAATCTAGGGACGTCCTGGAGCTCCAGCGATTTGGAATGGCCGAGGTCGAGCAGTGGATTCAGCGGGATCTCTCCTCCGCCATGCTGTTCTTTCTCACGCCGCCGCCGCCGCGCACCGCGAGAGTGCCGACGATGACTACCGGACGAGCACCCCACGAGATCGCCTGGGCGACCAGACGACGGTCGCGAGGGGCCACAGCAGCAACCAAGATCTGGATCCAGTGTTCTTGCGCGATGCGATGTGGACAATCACGAAGGCAAAGAAGAAGGCGAGCTTGATGATGCAAGTGATTGCATTCTCGGTCCGGGGTTGCACCGCCCAGGAGGATTGGTACCGGGCGTAGCAAACCATTGGATGCAATGGCGAAATGTACCTTCGATACGGAACAACTAGAGTTGGAAGCCATACCACCCGAACTGTACAGTAGTTTAGAGTAATATAATGCTTTCAGAACCGGGGGCTGAACACGAGAATGAGAGCGTGCCGTGGGAGCGCTGGTGAGATATCTACAAACTCTGGGGTTGAGAGCATGGGAAATCTCCCCATATTGGTCGCTTTCTCTCGATCGATTGATCAGGGCTTTTCTTGCAGGTTGGCTACGGATTTTGCAAAAGTTGCCAATTGATCGCGAAGTCCAGTCTTTGTTTCTCTACGTCTTTCATTCTAGTGATACACTATGCCGAGAATACAATGGCCTTTTCTTACCTACAAACTTCTTATCAAGTTTCAGGAAATCATGGAGTTTCTTTCGAGCGCCAATGCTGCTCAAAAACTTGCAATTCTTTAGTGTCGCTTCAAAGTTGGCAAAGCACGGACATTAGAGCTCACTGCCACTTGCCACGACTGCGCACTACCACAAATTGATTTCATACTCTCCCGCTCAAGGCTCAACAGGTGACGGGAACGAGACAAGTCAATAAGAGCCAGAGTGAAGAGCATTCAAATGTGCCCTCTGAATCTGATGGACAGCCCTTATCTTTCTCACATTGCATGTCTGAGAAATTTAGTGCTCAACACGTTCGATTTAGAAAAAAGCCTCATTAGTTCGTCTTTCTCAGAAAGATGAAGGACCAGCGTCCCAGGGATTCCCTCAAATGGCTTCTGTTTTGGATCTTGTCCTTGAACTTCATTGTCTTGCTTGGTTTCAGGCTGAAGTGGATGAGACAGGATCATCAAGTAATTTTACCAATATCAACCTGCAATTCCACGACCTCGGTGACATCAAGCAGAGTAAAACTCCTGGTCGATCTGTGGAGTAGCGATCTGGAGTCGAGAGCGAGCGGCACACCTCCACCCTTGAAGGTGACGATCAATGCACCGCACATCCAGGATTGCAAGCGTTGCAGCGAGGCGACTGCAGAGTTTGATCGGGGAAAGGATCCATCCTGGAAGGGACTTGCCCAGTTAAAAGAGGAGATTGACATGAATACAGAGACAAGCGGCACCGTTCCATGGGTAAGTTCTCTTTTAAGTTCTTTCTCGGATCGTCTTGGTTTTTTCTTGGGACAGGTCATTGGCGGTGATGACGATAATCTCCCGTTAACACGACGCGTCCAGCGTGAGATTTGGTTGCACCAACACCCGAGAAACTGTAGCAACGCGAGATTTCTCCTGGCACCTTGGCACCACGACGAGACGCGCAAATCGGTTGGAGTTGGATCCGATATGGTGTCAATGGCCGGAATGTTTGGAGCTGCGCTGATACAAGGCCGGGTTTTCATCACCAAGGATTACCACGGTGCCAGGCACAAAGGATGCACAGGTTTCTAGACTCTTTGATTAATGCTTCTCAGACTGAGAGTTCAGACTGAGTTTTATTATGTTAGGATCTAACCACGCTCGCTGGTCGTGCTACTTTGTTCCCGAGGCTTCTGAGGAGTGCATGGCAAGGGCACTGCGGCTTGCTTCGGAAAAACAGGCTTGGGACAAGGGAATTATCAAAGAGTTTAGTGGCAATCAATGGAATGGTAAGATTCCAAGGTGAGGAAAAGAGGTTTTTCTCATACAGTTCAATCAAGTAGTATTATCTTGTTTCTAGTTTTTGGGGGGAGCCTTGGAAAGCAATGCGACCTACTGTGGGAGTAAAGGGCAAGCTCATGACACATTATAACGCAAATCACCGAAGGTGGTGGAGAGCTCAGGCAAGTTTTTGATAATCCAAACATACGCTAATGCTTGCATACAGGCACTACGCTATCTCACACGATTTCCCAGTGAGTATCTTTGCAATCTTCTAAACCAAGAACGACACAGGGCCTTTGGGGAGGAAGCGGCAAAACTGGTGCTTAAAACTCTTTCCACCGAATGGCCGCTCGCAAGAGAGAGTAATCCCATGGAAGAGCTTGTGTGGAGTGGCTATGGACCTTGGATGCCGCAGCCTCTATTGAGCATTCATGTGAGACAGGGTGACAAAGCCAGGGAGATGAAAGTTGTCTCGTTTGAAGAATACATGAAGCTTGCCAGTGTCCTCCAGAAGCGATTCCCACACGTAAAAAATGTGTGGCTTTCCACAGAAATGCAGGTAAGAAAACCATTGACAAGGATTTAATCCCACAAGATTTGAATGTGTGTAGAACGTCGTGGATGAATCAAAGGAGTACAAAGGCTGGAATTTTTATTACAGCGATGTTCCAAGGCAAGTTGGAACAATCAGAATGGCGGAGTATATGGCATTGCTTGGAGACAAGAAAGCGTTTGACACTGCCTTCGTAAACTTGGTCATGGCAGCCGATTGTGATTTCTTTGTGGGAGTGTTGGGCTCGACTTGGAGCTATATAACTGATGACTTGAGGATGACCAGCGGCAAAATTAAGGCTGGCTTCCTTAGTGTTAACTCTATCAATAGCCTCCTTAGAAAATAACACTTCCATTAAATTATGTTTACTTAGGGTTTATAGCTAAACACGTGAAAATTTTAATGCTGGGAGCTGTGGTATCTGGGAATCGAACCTTCGAACCCTTTCACGTACGAAAACATTTTTGTGCGCGTGTTCCATTCTCCATTCGCTGGGGTTTTGAATCGATCTCTCGGGTCGATCGGAGCGAATGCAGCACGAGAGCGCGAGGGCGCTGTGGGAGCGCTGGCGAGATCTCTACAATCTCCGCGGCCACGAGCAAGAGATTCTCAAGCAGGAATGGTGGGTGCTTTTTCTTGGGGGAAATATTTCGCTTTCTCTCGGTCGATCGATCAGGGTTTCTTCTCGCAGGTTTGCCGACGCCTTCTTGTTCGTGGAGAAGCTCCCCGATGGCGCGCATCTGTGGTGCGCGCCCGGCCTCCAGCACGTCGTGTGGCAGCTTCTGGAGCCCTTGCGCTTCTATACCCCTGGATCGCGCTGGGGGGGTCTCCCGAGCTTGTGGAGGAAGCTCTCCTCGCCGCTGCGCGGATGCATCCAGTGCGTTTGCCATTACTACGAGGCAAAGGATTTCTACGTGCAAGAGTTTTCTCCGGGAGTGGAGCCGCTGCTGGATGTTCTTCGGGATCTGGATCGAGCGAGGGTGATGTCTCCCTTGCGGCGGACTTTACAGAAGTTCCAGCCGATCGATCGCGAAGGCTTGTGTGTTCTTTTCGAGGTAAGTGTTTGTTTCTCTACTTTTCTCATTTATTTCCTTTTGTTCCATACAGATCCTCATGTACCCAGAAGGTTTCCAGGATGATCAAGCCAGAAAGATCTTAATGCTGGTCATGCGCTATGCCGAGAATACATTGGCCTTGAATCCAGAAATCCATCCTGTACGTGATGTTTTTTTTGCTTCCAGTTCTCTTTATCTCTAACTTTCAGGAGATCATGGAGCTTCTCTCAGGCAACAATGCTTCTCGAAAGCTTGTCGAAAGTTTGGAACTTTTTCGGTGAGCGGATCAATGCTAGCCTTGAGCTTAACCATTTTTATGTATTTGTTGTAGGAACGCGGATCAGAGGATTATTCTCCATGGTTTGAGAAAGCTTGTGAAGATCTTCGATGAAACGGTATCCTCGTCCGAATCAACAGAGAACGACGTTATACTCGACCTGACCGACGAAGAATGTGTCAACAACCAAGAGGCGATGACTGATGAATGTGTGAAGACGGCCACCGAAGAGACGGCGAGTGCGAAACCCGAGGTGGGCTCCGACCGGAAAAAGAGACCTGTGTCGCAAGATGTTCCATCATGCAAGAAGCAACGCTTGGAGGGCAAGGTCGGGGAAGGCCAGCAAGACTTCTATGATCGAGCTGCGTTTCCAGCGATGCTGGACGAATGGCACAAGCGTGTTCTATCGCTAGACATCTGGAGCATGCACGGAGATCACTCGGAGGAGCTCCTGGAAGTTCCATTGACGTTTCAAAGCTACAAGCATTATCTAGAGATCTTCCGGCCGCTTTGCTTCGAAGAGTTCAAGGCACACCTTGAAAGGTCTCTCGAGACAATGGATTTGTCGCGCTCCGACGTTGTCACAGCGTTTTCCTTGCGGCAGGAAGGCTACTTTCACCTTGTGGAGTTTGACGGCCACACCGTTAAACTCGCAGAGAACGATTTGATACTTCTACGTGATCCAGCTCGGACTTCTCACATGATCGGCAAGATGAGTAAACGCTCCAGAGCTTGATGCATTCTAAAGGAATCTCTTTGCATTGCAGGTTGAGAAAAGAAACAACCTTCTCGTCAAGGTTTATCTTCCTCACAGCTGCGAAAGGCTTTCCAAGTTGCGAGAGATGCTAGTGACGGAAAGTACATGGCATCTGAACAAGCTTACGTCCGTGACGACTTTCATCCGCGAGCAGCAGGCTATGGCGGCGATGCACTTGTTTCCATTACTGGAAACAATACTCTCGGCTTCTCCTCCACGAGAAATATCAAGAACTCAAAGCCTTCCACCACAACTGCGGTCAAAGCTTAGACGCGAGTACAACGAGAGTCAGCTGAGCTCTATCGCTGCTGTCGCCGACCAGATGATTTCTCTCATACAAGGGCCACCAGGTAAACGGCTTTCGCGTTCTCTTGATATAAACCATTCAATTGTTTTTTCTTTGCTTGTAATAGGAACTGGAAAGACAAGAACAATCCTCGGCATTGTGAGCGCATTGCTGGCCCATGCAAACGAGGAGGCTGGCAAAGCCGAGGAACACGAGATGCTAGACGTGCTAACAGATAACCACCAAACTGAGTTCCGAGATAAGCTGAAAGCTACAAGGATCTCAGTCCAACGCAGCAGTGGACGAACTGGTGACAAGAATCTCAAAGCATGGCGTCTACAACTACGATGGAGGGACTTACTGGCCCTCTATTGTCCGCGTCGGGGACACGAAGAGGGTGCATTCCCAGGCAATGGCTGTGCACATCGACCGGCTGGTGGCGAAGAGAATGGCTGAGAATGCAGGGGTACACAATGCGCACTCTCCACAGGAACTAAGATTCAAGCTCGATGAAGTCCTGGGTAATATGCAAGCGTTAGCTGCTCCAGCCGAGGTGGCAAGTCAGGATGGGATCCCGAAACTTGACAAGCTAGCAGGTCTTCAAGAGCAGCAGAGACTGCTTTTATCAGAGCTGATCAAGGTGGAAAATCGCGAGCATGGCTTTCTTATGGGATCAAACCGAAAGAAGAAACAAGCCATGAAGCTTGAAGTTTTAAGAGAAGCAGATGTGGTACTGACGACGCTAAGCGGCTGCGGAGGTCACATTTACTCGACTTTGATGGAATTCATTGCAACGAGAGACGCGCAGGCCGCGGAGATGCTGTTCGACGCTGTGATCATCGATGAAGCGGCACAGGTATGGATGAAAAATCAGAGTTTGAATGACGCCTTTCGAACGAACTTTTAGGCCGTGGAACCATCAACTCTGATACCGCTTCAGCTGTTGAAAGCGACTCGTGGGAAGTGCATCCTGGTAAAGTGCTACGGGAGTATTTTGCAAAATATTTACTAGAAGTTTTCCAGATTGGGGATCCTAAACAGCTACCAGCGACTGTTCTCTCGGTTCCAGCATCAAGGCTCCTGTTTGACTGCAGTATGTTCGAGCGTTTCCAAAAGAATGGCTATCCGGTCAGCATGTTAACAACGCAGGTCGACGTCTTTTTCCATTTTATCAAGTTTTCTCGTTCTGGTTCCACAGTATCGCATGCACCCTGAGATTCGAAGCTTTCCATCGACACACTACTACGGTGGCCAGCTCAAAGATGGAAGCACTGTTCTACATGGCAACCGAAGCGCTCCCTTCCACCGGGAAAGGTTCGTACGCTTGAGCTTTTGAATTCATGAAAAGAAGACTGTTTCAATTGGAATTGCACAGGCGTTTCGAGCCATACAGGTTTTTTGACATTCGAGACGGGCAGGAAAGGCCAGGCTCGATGCAGTCGCTTACCAATCCCGACGAGGCAGAGTTTATCTTTCAACTCCTTCGTGTTCTCAAAGAGAGGTACTCCACATTCTTTCACGAAGTTGCTAGAAAGATATCAACCGGTTTTCCAGGTATCCGGAGGAAGTTCGCCCCGGGAGGATTGGAGTGATCACTCCATACCAGGAGCAGAGAAAAGTTCTCCAAGAAAACATGAGGAGTTTACACTCGGGGATCGACGTAAACACGGTGGATTCATTCCAGGGGCGAGAGGCAGACATCATCGTCCTCTCGACAGTGCGTGCTTCGTTTGGAGAGTCTCAAGCTGGTGTGGGATTCCTCGCGGACGTCCGGCGCATGAACGTAGCACTGACGAGGGCCAAGTTTTCGCTCTGGGTCGTGGGAAATGCGAGGACGCTCGAAAGAAATTCCGACTGGAAAGCTCTTCTCCAAGACTGTAGGAGAAGAGGTCTCGTGTCGAGCGTGAGAAAGCCCTACCACAGCGCAATCAACGGCTTACAGAGCTTCAGCTGACAATTAAATCGATCCAACGGTTTCATTCAAGCGAACGTACGATTGTTCCAGTGTGGCGTATCAACGGCTTGCTAAGCCCAGTAAAATTTAAATTTGCGAATATTCTAGTAAAAAAAAAAAATGCCTGGGGCTATATAAATGGACACTTGGGGTTTTTAGGGTTCGTCGCGAATAGAAATGGTGTACGATAGCTTTGGTGGACAGTCGCGAGGTTTCCACACGGAGCAGGAGCGGCTTGTGCGAATCTATGCCGTGATTGATCAGGGGCGCCGGCGCGAGATGGAGGATGGCTGCGCCATCGCGACTGGCCTGCCATCGGGCGTTTCGCTGGTTGGGGTTTTCGATGGCCACGGCGGGGACGATGCCGCGAGATATTGCTCCAGCAATCTCTTCAAGCTCCTGGTGCGCGACGAGAGGTTCGAAAAGGGTGAGTTTCGCGAGAGCTTGCACAGCGTGTTCTTGAGCACTGACGAGGGATTCGCCGGGCATGGATCGACGTCGTCTGGAACGACGGCGGTGGTGGCTCTTGTGAAAGAGGGCAGATTTTTCGTGGCTCACGCTGGTGATTCCTACTGCAGCCTCGTCAAGAACAAGCAGATGATCCACCTGACCAAGGATCACGTCCCAAGCAACTTGGACGAAGCCGATCGAGCTCGCAAATCCAAGTGCGTCGTCCATGACGGGGTGGTGAGCAAGGATGGATCTTTGAGCACTCTGGCGGTGACACGCGCGATCGGCGACTTTGAGTTCAAGGACAATCCAAAGAAGAGCCGGGAAGAACAGGCAGTGGTCGCTGATCCGGAGATCTTGGAGCAGGAGATTTGCGATGGCTGCGAGTTTTTGATTCTTGCGTCGGATGGCCTGGAGAGGAAGTATGTGGAGTCGTGCCGGGAAGAGATCAGCAAGGCGCTCAAGGAGAAAAACTTTGAGGCACTGAAGGAGATCGTTGCAAGAGCACAGTCCAATGATAACAAGACGATGGTGATCGTGGAGTTTCTCAAGCAGGACGACAGGAAAAAGAGAGATGCTACGAGCAGGGACAGTGATCATGATCTTGGCAGTGATCTTAGAAGCAAGAATGGCGATGGCTATGATCGAAGAAGGGAGAATCACCGTGGTGACGATCGTAGAAGGAAGGATAACCGGGATTATGACAGGAAAAGAGGAAGAGATCACCGCTGGCACCCCGATTATGATCAAAGAAGACGTGGCTACGATCGTCGGAGGTCGAGAACCCCGGAGCGTCGATCGAAGAGATGAAGTTCCATTAGTTCCAGAGCTACAAAACTTTTCTAGCGAGTTCTTCGACGATCAAATCGATCGCTATCAAGCGGCTGATACCTCCAAAGCGAATGCTCCTTTTTCTTTTCCTGGATCCAGCTGACGTTGCGTGGATGGATCCACTCAACAGGCATTCGTTTGGAGTCAACTCGAAAGGAATTCTTTGAGCTAAGCTTAAGCGCTGGCTCGCATCACAAGTATATGAAAGTGGACAAAGCAGTGGCTCGAGTTTTGTTCTCGAGTTGTTCCATTGTCAATTTTTTCTCGAAAGGCTACCGAGAAAAAAAGAAGGCTAAGATCATCCATAGCAATGAGGGTGGCCATATTCGTACGGAGGCTCCCCGTGGTGCGAGCCAGCGTGTACAAACAAACATTCCTACTTTTCAAAGCTACAGACAGAATATCTATCCTTTTGTCTCTGGAATATTATCATTTTGATACCAACTTGTTTGATCATGTGTGTTACGTAACTTGTGTGATATCATAGCTTGACTTCACGAGAGAGATTTCCAAAGACCTACATACAAACATAGCATAACCCTCTATTGTCATTGAATGGCCCCCCCAAGTATAAAAATCTCTATAAAATTCTTGGAAAGATTCTTGTGTAGAACCTAAGTAGAGAGCTCCAAAGTGGTGTTGTGGGAGTTGGATTGGATCTATAAAGCGCCCTGCTTATGGATAGAATGGAAGTTTGCCTGGAAAAAGCTGGGCAAGGCCATGTTTGCTTTGCGCGCTTTTCTAAATCGTGGGATATTCGTGAGCATCGAGAATTAGAATATTCGCGGGCATCGAGAATTAGGGTTGGAATTGAGATCCGTTATTCTTGATTTGAATTTTTATTGCTTTCTCTTTCATACTTACGCATGATGAAAACAATAACAGTCAAAGCTCGATCTTTAAAGAGCACTCAATACTAATGCCCGCCACTTGGAAAGCGACACGTGCCGCGTCTCCATTGACATGGATCCTTACTTGTACGTCACATAATATTGGACCGGTATACCTGCCCCGGGTCGTACGGCAGTGGCGGCCACACCGTCCGTTACCGGCGAGTCAGCCGAGATATGATGATAGAGTGGGATGGTGCTGCTCAATGACAGGGAGACACGTGGTTTGGCCGGCTGATGTGGAAGAAGTGAAGTGACGCGTACGCCACGTCACCTGCCACCTGGCGCTCGGCACATATTGTGTGGTCTTCCTACCTAGAGAAGCGCCGAGGTAGCGCCATTGCCCCATTTAGCTCGATCGATGGCTATGGAGGGCGCCAGGGATTGCCACGCGCCAGGTAGAGCATTGCTAGGGCGCTTCTTTGTAGAGATTGTCTAGGCGATGCCAGGACGCTCACAGGAATCTCGCGGAGCTCGCGAAATCTAGGCTAGGAAGGCTGGAGCGAGCAATGGTAACGGCCAGGGAGCAAGAACACGGTGTTCTTGATCGCGGCGGCGGGGAGGGATTGCTGGAGCAGGCACAGAGTCTGGTAGCGCAGATCGTCGCGGCTTCCTCGTCCGTCAAGGCCTTCCTTGTGCGATGGAAGATGATAATCTCGAGATTGGAGCGGCTGCCAGATCTCTTGACCGAGCTCGGCGGCGCGCCGTTCTTCGCCAAGAACACACTCTGCCTGGAGCTCCTGGAATCCCTCGTGGCAAGCTTGGGCGAGGGTTTGGAGCTCGTGTCGCAGTGCGCGCTTCCCAGTTATGGCGGAGGGAAGCTCCAAATGCAGAGTAGGCTGGATTCCCTGGCGAGCAGGCTGGATGGCTACCTCCACGACTCGAGGCTGATGATCGAGACCGGTGTTCTTTGCCAGGCATCGCCGCTGATGACCCTCTCGGTGATGGGCGTGAGCAAAGAGAGCAGGAAATGGACCGTCAAGGACTTGCTGGCGAGGCTCCAGATGGGGAGCACCGAGTCGCGGATCAAAGCTCTCGACTCGCTGGTGGAGTTCATGGCCGAGGATGACAAGAACGTTTTGGTGGTAGCCGCGGCACCGGGAAGCATTCCAGCGCTCGTCCATCTCTTGGACGGGCGAGCTCCTGTGATGCGAGAGAAGGCCGCCGCGGCAGTGGCGAGCCTGGCAACCGTGGAGAGCTGCGTCCACGAGATCGTCAGCGAGGGAGCTTTGCAGTCGCTCGTCCGGCTGCTCGATCCGGCTAGAGGGTCTCTGGCCAGCGAGAGGGCCGCCAGGGCCTTGCAGAGTCTCACGCTGGTTCCAGACAATGCTCGATCGGTTGCGGCTTGCGGGGGTGTGAGTCCGCTGCTGGATTTGTGCCGGAGTGGAACTCCAGTCGCGCAGGCTGTCTCCGCCAGCGTCTTGAGGAACCTCTCCGCGGTGGAGGAGATCCGGCGGAGGATCTCCGAGGAGGAGGAGTCCCTCCAGGTGCTCATCTACTTGCTAAGTTCCGGGACTCCACACTCGCGCGAGCACGCCGCGGTGGCGTTACAGAACTTGGCGGCCATGGACGACGACAACTTCAAGCGTGCTCTGGTGTGGAGCGAAGGGGTGCTGGAGCCGCTGGCGAGATTTCTCGATGGATCGGAGGCTCCGGCGTCGCAGGAGGCAGGGATTGGAATCCTCCGCGGGATCGCGTCGTCGCCAGCCACAGTTCCAGCGATCCTGGAGGCCGGTTTCTTGCACCCGCTGGTGGGATTCCTGACGCAGGGATCGCCGTGCGTGCAGCAGTGCGCCGCGGCGGCAGTGGCAGCCATGGCGGTGTGCTCCGAGAGCCGGAGAGCTATCGGTGACGCCGGATGCATCGCTCCGCTGGTGGGGATGCTGGACGCGAAGATGGCGAGCGCGCAAGAGCACGCCGTGAGCGCGCTGGCCAACTTGGTGGAGCTGGAGAGCAACCGGAGGATGGTGGCGAGCGAGGAGAAGGGAATCTCGGGGATCGTTCGGCTGCTGGATACGTCGGGGTCGCCGAGCTTGGCGGCAGAGCGGGCGGTGGCGGCATTGATCGCTCTGGCCGGGAACTCCAAGAACAGGAAGCAGATCATGGCGAGTGGAGCTTGCTACTACTTGGGGAGATTGGTGGAGGGCGAGGTTCCAGGGGCCAAGAAGCTGCTGGAGAAGCTGGAAGGGGGCAAATTCAGGAGCTTCCTCAAGAGATTGGACATATCATCAGAGTGGTAAGTCCTGTTTTTTTGTGCTTTTCTTGTTCTTAGTTCCTTGCAATCTTTGTTTTCTTTGGACTGTTTGTTCTTCCTGTCCAAATGATCTTGTTTTTTTTAACTCTTTTTCTTTCCATGTTGCAGATATGATATGATAGCTTCATCATACAGAACCCAAACAGAGAAATTGATCAATCGCTGTAAATTTGAGGAGCAACAAAACGAAACTAACTTAAAATCTTGTGTCTAATATAGGGTTGACAGGGTGACTTAGCCCTAGATCGGACGGCTGGGGTTGGAGAAGTAGCGCTGGCCGTTGGATATAGCGCGAATATAGTGACAAGGATGGATTCTTCAAGAATGGCTGGCGCGCGCGTAAAGTCTTCTTGTCTGGCGGGCGAAAAATTCCGGACGATCTCATTCTTAAGATTTTACCATCTCTCTCTTCTCTCCTATTTTTCTTTCATGGCTTTCCTTTCTATGATAATCCGATCTCCCATAGCCACATTTGGAGGCTTCTTGGAGTAAACTCTCCCACATGACTCTCGTGCACGTATTTAGTGGTGGCCGGGTTTCGCTGCTTGGCATTTTCTTGGCTAGCGCTGGCTGGCTGGAAGCACAAAATAAGAATCGCGAGAGCGCCCCTAGCCACAGAGCGAAGGAGAAGGTCAGTTGATCCACTGGATTTCTTCCATTCCATGGTATTTGGGAGCCATGGATATCAATCATCCCGGTGAAGGCGCCGCCAAAAGTCAACTCGAGCACCACGATGAGGATCGCTCGGATCGAGGCGATGGAAAATCGCAAGAGGAGGAGGAGGAGAAGGAGGGGGGATCGTCTGGGAATTCGTCCAAGGGTGGCGGGCGAGGAGCGCGAGCACAGAAGGAGCAGTCCGAGGGAGCCTTGGCCGAGGATGAAAACAGCTCGACTTCATCGTCGTCTGAGCGATCCGATGAAAATGCGAATGGAAGCGCTGGGATTGTGCGAGAGATCAGGGGCAGGAAGAAACCCAAGTCGGAGAGCAGCGTGTTCCACGATCGAGAGAAAGGTACATGGATGTTTTTTCTCTTCTTTCTAGGTAGTTCTTCGCCATGGCTATGGAGGATGTAGCTTGTCTAAGTCTTTGTTCTCCCTCGCTTGGAACAGGGATCTCTACGTGCAAGCACTGTGGCTGGATTTACCCGAATCCTCGTCCCAGCGCCAAGATGAGACGAGAGCACCGAAAGCATTGCGGGAGCTTCCAGAGCGTGCATGCATGGCTGGGCTCCGAGGAAGATCAAGAACAAGGGAGTGAAGTGACGGGTGAGAAGAAGGATTTGGAGGTGTCCGAGAGCTCTCCGCGGGATCAGGAAGAAGAACACACTGGAATCAAGGCGGAGACGATGAGCAATGGTCGCGGGGGACTTGAGAAAGTCGAAGAAAATCTTGATGGAGAGATCCAAGAGGAGAAAGTCGAACCCAGCAATGGACAGGTCTTGGATCCGACCATTTCGCATGAAGAACTTGGGTCAGCTGTGAAGGAGGTTTTGGAAGTTCTTCCAGTTCTTCACGATCATCCGGTTCACGACGGTGATCGTCTGCGGGAGAAGCTGAAAGAAGCAGTCGATTCTACCAGCGAAAAAAAGCCCGAGCTTGAGTATGATCTGGAGAGAATCCTCAAGGAGCAAACCAGCCATCACTTGCTCTGTCCAAACTGTGGATCATGCATCACGAGGCGGGTGATTCTCAAGAAACGAAAGAGGACGTCGACTGGCGGTGTGAGTCTATCCGCGGATCAAGCCAAGGCTCAGAAACTCGAAGAGGCCGAGAGTGTGACGCTTCCCCCGCCACCATCGACCGAATCTCCACGAGGTGTTGCTCTTAGAGACCAAGAACACGAGGAGGAGGAGTCCGAGGCATGGGGATGCTTAGCTTGCTTCTCCATTTTCTTTCGTAAAGGTAAGGCTTTTCTTTCAGTTTCTCCTGTATTTCTAGCGAGAGCTTTTGCAGTTCGCGATGGTTTGCACGAGCCACTGCTCGGAGTACGCGATCGAGCTCGTCAGTTTAGTTGTCTACCGTACTTGCTTCCGGATTTTCACTGGGATGGAACAGGTTGGCACCATTTGTTCGCTCGAGTGAGTTTATACTCTTTTTTTTTTTGTTCTTTAGGGAGCTTTCGATTGCAGCAATCGTCCGAGGGGCCAGTTGCCAGCCGAGG